TGTGTTGGCATCTAATTTGTTTAATTTCTTTATTTTCTGTTCTGAGATAAACAATATCTCAGAATGGATAAAGTTTAAGAAACAAAATTTGGTACTGTAGCTTGTGTATAAATAGGCATTAATGCTATTAAATTTTGATTCTTAATTAAAGGTCGACAGGGTGAAGACATAGAAAAGTCATGTGTCATATCTCCTGTGTGGTTGAACTTAACGAATATTTTACTCATTATTAGTGTTCGTAATTTAAAAATAAAATAAAATTCGTCTCTACCCTTAAAATTAAGTAAGCTTTTTGTCATTTTATAATAGTACAGTGAAACCTGTTAAGATGTTCTTACCTAAGATGTTAGAATGTGTATGGGGGGCATGATTTAGTTCAACCACTTTGACGCTTAATAACTCCTGTGTTAAACCATCCAACTCTGATTTAAAAACCACAGAAGTTATTAGGCTTCAAACAGTGTGAACTAAATCATGCCCCACACACAGTCTAACATCCACACACAGAAAAAAATCTCGAATCTTTTGCTTATCTTGGAATTTCAGTGTTCCAAGTCAAAAGTGTAAAAATTTGGGAGGGATCATTTTTTGATTGAGCACTACACTTTCCCTCTATTATATATAACATCCAGAAAAGTAAAAATTATCGAATACATATTTATATATTAGTTAGAGGAGTCTTTTAGCTTTGGAATAAAAAGTTTCTACGTTCTATCTTTGTTAGAACTCTATTTATTGAATCTTTTATTCTGAGGTTACGTGATGATATCAGAATTTCCGGGTCTCTTTTGATAACAAGTCCACCCCTGGTCGGAGTTGGAGTCGGATAGTAAGGCAAAGTCAGAGTCAGAGTCAGTAGATTTTTACACAACTCCACAGCCCTGATTAAAACAAATCTTGTTTTCAGGTCTGTTTTAATATTTACCCTAAAAGTATTAAATTAGCTATTGCAGTATATTTAGTATATTGGGACATTAAATATATTGTTTTTAAATATTTATTTTTTGTTAAAAAATACATATAATATGAAAAAGTTCAATGGAATATTTACTTTAATGGATTATAAAAGAACAAAAAGCATTTAATTTTGTTTTATTTGAAGTTTTTATATTACATTAAAGCAAATATTTCTATTTTATCTTGAATTTGTGGATACAGAATACTACACTGCATTTAGGTAGCAATGTAGCATTATTTTTGATACTGTGAATTTATGACTATATAAAAATTTTTAAAATTCTTTTTTTACACATAATACTATAATAATATTGCTTCAGTTTGATAATGTCAAAAGAAATTCTAATTAAATAAATTTTTTAATATTAATTTTAATACCAAAATAAATTAATAGTTTATATATATATAATTAAAAATATTCTCACCTGAAAATGAAAATTAATGTATTTCATTGCTCTTTGTCTTCTACAGAAAAATTCTGTTTATCAGATGAAACACATTTATTATTTCTGTTCTGAGATAAACAATCATCACATAGGAAAGTTAAATCACTTTCACATTTTTTATGACATTTACAATTGCATTTATTAATATCAAAACTTTTAGGAATTTTCTTTGCAAATATATCTGTTTGTGAATCCAAAATAGATTGTTCTGTTTGTTCTTTAGGAATCTCTGTAGCACCACTTATTGAAGAATCTGAATCATGCAAATGTTTACTGTTCATATCAACATTAACATTATGACATTCACAATTACATTTATGACAAATGCAGGAACAATCTGTAAAGACACTTTCTTTATTAAAATCCTCAGACTGAAAATTATCTTGAAAACTTTCACCTTTATCATCTAGAACATTTTTACAATTTGCATTTTTCTTTGAAATATCTAAATTATTTGGATTTTTTGTGTTATCATCAGTGATATTTTCAAATGTAACCCAAGAATCTTCAATAGAATTACTATTAGGAATTTTATTTGGTGATTCTGTTCCTAAATTATATTCATCATCTGTAGGACTTTTTAGAGGTAAAACAAACTCGTCTTCATTTTGAGGTCTTTTATTTAATCTAGGGCTATGTAATCCTTCTTCACAAAAATCTTGCCAACTTTTTAAATTTCCTTTCTTGGGACTTTTTGGTCGTAAAATAAATTGTTCACCAGGCAGAGATAAGCGTATTTTCTCAATACCAGGATCTGGTGAAGGTGTAGCTGACTGAATAAAAGCTTCAAGAGGGGCAATATTAATAGGTGTTGTACTTCTTGGCCTTTCAATTGGTATAGTAGTCACTTCGAGTCTTTGTTTTCTTGTTGGCGTTTTAATCTGAATTTGAGAAGCTTCTGGAGGTAGAAATCTAAATTCTGCCACAGGAAATTCATCAGTGTCCATAGAATCTTGGTTTAAAAGATTTTGAGCTTCATAATCTTCTTCACTATCTCTGGTTTCTAGTGTAGTTTTAGATTTGTCTACTTCAAAAGTTAATTCTGATTCTGAAGACTCGTGATCATGTTCACCTTCAGAATCATGGTGTGGAATAGATTCTTTTTTGTTTGTATCTGATTCTATTTCAGCATGACTAATATTATCATGGTCTTCAACTTTATGTCTACTTGTGGTAGAAGGTAAACCATGTATACTTTCTAATTCAATATCGGTTGGCCTAACTCTTTTTTCTTCTTTTTTAATTATTTTGTTATTTACAAGCTGATTCTGAGTAATATTTTTATTTGATTCTTCCTTACTTGTTACTGTCTTATTCAGAGTCTCCTTAGTTTCAGAAATTGTTTGAGAATCAAGTTTACTTTCAACTTGTTTTGAGGGAGCAGATCTGTTCTTTTCAATTTTTTCTGTAATTGGAACAGGTTGAAAATCAGCAGGTGATTTTGGTGGAGATGGACTCTTGCTTTTTGGTGATTTTTTACCTCCAATTTTAAATAAAGATGATAAAAATTTACCCTTTTCTTTTTTAGAGTCATTTTTATCATTTGATTCAGTATCAGATTTATATTTCATGGAAGAGTCACTCTTCTTCCTTAATCTCTGAGGAGAACCCTGTGGTGATCGACTCCTGCTTCTGCTTCGACTGCGAAAAATATCAGTCCAAGATCCCTTCCGATGACTATCTTCTCTAGTTGGTCTACTACTTTCACCAGCAGATAATAAAGAGCTGACAGAGCCTTTTTTACCTCCAGTGCTGGATAAACTAGCTCTGTCATCTTCCTTTCCTGTTTTCAAAAGAGATGAAAGTGATGAAGTTTTTAAACCTGGTACATGACTTTTAACACCATCACAGGGTGTAATAGTAAACTGCGAATCACCATCACTGTCAAACTGAGGAGTGGATAAAGCAGATGCAGTTAAAGTTCTAGGAGTGGAAGAACCATCAAAGTCTGTAGGTCTACTAGACTGACTATTAAGTATATTTTCATCAAGATCTGCCAAACTATCAGGACTTTCCAATTCATCAGAAGGCAAATCTTCAAAAGAAGCTAATGGTGCTGGTCCTGCTCGAAGTTGTCGTGATGGATAACTACCTTTTTTCACTTGTGCCATGGAAAGAGTACCATTCTATTAAATGTATCAAATAATAAATTCTTTCATCCATGAACTACAAAATTGATAATGATGTTTTTCTATATTCTGCATTAAATGAACCTGTAAATATTAAGTTTTTAATATTTTACATGAAACAATTCATTGAAAAAAAACACTGTCTTATCATTAATATTTAGGCATTTCAACTCATTTATAAATTTTTTTATCATCAGAAAACTTTTAATTAATTCTTAAATCTAAGTTCTACTATAATTTTTAGGTTCTACAGATTTCTCCATCTTTCTTTTTTGTGTAACCTCTAAAATATTTTACCATTTGTCCTTCACAACATTGATCAGGGCAGGCTTGTCTTTTGGGCAATCTCTCCTCTCATATCTTTGACAATCCAATAAAAAAAAAAGGATCTCAATAAGATAGGATTGACATTATGGGCCAGCTAATCCATCTTAGATATTAATATTCTCAACTAATCAATCACAACTAAAATCTTATGACACTAACGTTCTCCTGTTGATAAATGATACAGAATACTCTCAAAGTATTCCATATACTTAATAATATAGGTGAATATATGATTGGTCAGAACAGATTATGATATTTATGGTTCTACAGATTCTAGTCCTTCTGTAGATATATTCTAGTCCTTCTGTGGTATAAATAATAAATTCATATCAATGGGGAATGTTTTCCCCTTCCCATAGGGGAATTCCACTCCCCAAGGGGGGTTATTCCCCCATGGGAGAGGGAAATTTATTCTCCTCCATGGGAAATGGGGTTAAGGATTACCCCCATGGGAAGGGGGGGTAATCCTTAACCCTCTCCACCCACGGGAAAGGCGTTCTAACAGCAGTGGTGCCATTTCATAGTATAAATAATAAACTCCTATTACAAATAATAACATAGGTCTGCAAAAACAAATTTTTTTACAGCTGCATGGGATATTTTTGCTGAATTATATGTTTTAAAGATCGGAAATTCTAAAAATGACTTCCGTAACATTCCATCACATATAGGTTTTTTACAAAATAAAAACAAATTTTTGCTAAAAACTCTTATTTATTACAATGAACTAAATATATTCTATTTTCTTACAACTAATCAAAACTTGTTTCTGATATTTATACACAATTTTAGGTCTACTCTCTTTTCTTCTTCTCTTTGATGCTTCTCCGAACTCATTTCCGATTTCCTTCTCTGGTTTCTCGATTGAGCATCCAACAGTAGTCAGCTAACATATTGACATCCCATTTTCCTTGGTAATGTCTCTCAATATCACGGACATCCTAGTGAAATCTTTCACCCTATTCTTCGCTGTAGGCTCCCAAGTTTTCCAGAAAATAGTCAATATGGGAGTGTAAGAAATGAACTTTTAAGCTCATCTTGCATCCTTGAGCTTCATATGCTACCAGCATGTGTTGTAAATGGTTTTGTAGTCAGGGTCCTTAGTATTCACCAAAAACTTATGCACTACATTCTTCATGCATTACGTGCTGTTTTTTTAATGGATATAAGGTGGAAATTTTACTATGAATTTAGAACTTGTTTCAGAATATGCTACAGAAAGAAAAGTTGAAAAATAATTTATTTTCGACAATTAGCGAGAACTGATCTTCGGATATAATACTTGGATATAAGTGAGAGTATGTATTATAGACTTATTAATTTATTTGTGCATATAATTATCTAGTCCTAATTTCAAAACATTTATGTTTTTTAGTGTTTATAGACCTGTTATTTAGACATGTCTACTGATTTAGTGCTATTACGTAGAACTATATCGAAGACCAAATGGAGGATTTTAGAAGAACTTTAAGAATTTGTTTTGATCATTATGGTTAGTGTTTACATGTATCGTTGTACTGTAGCTTACTTCATTTTACTGTTAAAGAAAGTAGGTCACGCATTAGATTGGTGATGTAGACTGTTGACTTTTTCAGAGTGCATTTGTAAAAGACACTTCCCCGAGAAGGTCCCTCTCAGGGGGAGTGTCTTTCACAAAAGTTATAGTTTCTTTTCTGATGCATGCCAATGATAAATATTGTTTTAAAATTAAATACCAATGAATTAATTTAACATATGTAATAAATCTGAAAATGAATATATAAAAATATTTCCACATTTTTTTGATTGTTTTGTTCTTTCTTAAAATTTTATTTATATTTGTTATACGTAAATTAAGTATATTTACCAAATGCTAATATTTTAAACCGCTTTAATATTTGGGTGTAAATTTGAACAACAAAATTTAAAATTAAATAAAAGATATACTAAAATTTTCTTTTATTTACAATGATTATGTCACTTCTATAGAAAGTAGAACACGAGACGACCTTCATCCACTTTACAGTCCGGGGGTAAACCCTTTTGCAATCATTTGTCAATATAGCATCAAGTAGTTAATTAATGAAACAAATAACTTGACAATTTATCGTCAATCTGAGAATTTACAATTCTTATAAAACATTCCATTCATAGATGGCACTACACTACTGTAGGTTATTCTGTACACTTGTTTCACATATTTAATACCTAATGGCATTTAATTTTAATTTTATTTTAAGTATTTATAATTTTTTTGAAGTAAGAAATTACTTTGTGTAAAAAAAAAAACTGAGTTCATTTTAATCAAAATGTACAGAACAAAATGGCCATTTGAAAAGGATTACTTACAGAAATGAATATAATCGAGAAATTTTATCTATGACCGAGTTGTGTAAATTATAAATAATATTCAAACTGTCATTTTTAACATATATTTTTGGGAGAAATTTTTTATGCTAGTGAAAAGAAACTTTACTACCTAAACAACAAAAAGTAACATATATACATGAATTTTTTCGTATGTGTATGATAATTGCTGGATTTTTGAATAATATAAGTTGAATGACCTTGAGTGAGTAATGTTTGCAGTGACAATTTTCAAACAATGAACAGTGAAACGTCATGAGTTTAAAAGGTTAATTATCATTATCCTGGTGTGGTAAGCAGATATCTAAAAATTTTCTAATTAGTCTTGGAAGAGGGGGATCCAATTCTTGCACATGGTGAAAATGGGTAAGATCAACTATAATCTAACAATCTTAATCTTTGCTATCGTTACTTTTTGTCCGAGCAATGCTGGGCTCATCTGCTAGTATATATATATAGCTTGTAAGATGTAGGGGTTTGGAATGGATCTCTCTCTGATATACAGGTATCTCTCATATAACACTAGTTATGTTCCAAAAAGTGCTGTGTTATATGAATCCATGTTATATGAAACAAAGGACTTACGCAAAACATAGGGTTACGTTCCAGAAGTTAGCTAAAGTATACTATTCTTTTTTGTTACTAAGAGAAATATGTTTATTAAAGCAATCAATAATTTATTTCCAATCAATAATTAACTAACAATCACGATCAAAAGTACCGTATGATGCAATAATGTTAATTTTAGTTAAATGAGGGCATTTTCTTTTTACAATCTTCTGAGCTTTTTTGTTGATCTTGATAAGAAATATCAGCAACATCTTCATTTTTTTTCACCATTAAATTTTTTTGTATGACAAAATAAAAATATTGTTGTTAATCAAAAATTTCTTCTAGAAAGTCTGTGTTTGTTCAATTGAGGACAGTGATTTTTTCCAGAATTTGTGTTTGAATACTGAATTGTTCAAGTGTCTAGATAACACTGTTCATTTTCACAAATAATTACTTACCTACAGTTAAAAAAAGGTTACTAACACTTACCTAAAAGTGTTTAAATACAGTTTACTTAATACAAAGCTTAATCTATAAAAACAAATAAAGTGACAGTCAAAGGCTAAAATCTGAAAGCAACAACAACAATATCTAGTTGATAGGAAAGCTAGGACAGCAAAGAAAAAATTGCACTATTAATTTTCATTAAACCTGACAAAAGACAAAAAAACAAATTGGAATTTTCAATATTCTAAAATCCAAGGGCAAATTTGAGATAACACAAGTGGTTACTTGAATAAAAAAAAAATACCAAATAAAGGGTTGTACTTAAAAGCTGTGAAATTTTGTACAGAGAATTTCCCAAATTCTTGAAGCATATGCAAGGAGTTAAAATCTGATCATTATTTTACATTTTGGGTGTTATTTTTAGTTATTATTATTTTGTTTTTGGGGACATTTTTTATTATGTTTTTAAGAACAGAAAACTCCTAAAACCCCAATAATAAACTAAATTCAAAATTAAAACATTCACTTGCATACATGACTGATCCTGTAATGCTCAAATATGTAAATAGGATAGTGCATGTGCATCATAACTTGTAAGCCAGATAAAAGATGACACTCTTTCAATGGAGAAGTGTAGCTCCTGAAAGCGACTTTGAGTGTGTAAAGGCTATTTACTTTATACTAAATTGTCTGGCATTATTTTTGGTAAAGCACTTAACTTGTAAGAGTGTATTTTTTTGTTTTTAAATGTAGTTGATACTGGTGAGATTTAATTAATTGTATGTCCTGAGTTGGGAAAAGAATTTCTTTTTATTGAATTTTTTTGCTTGTTTCAATATTTGATATATACAGTTTAACCTGATTATAATATCGGATGTAATGACAACCCTAATATAATGTCAAATTTTTATCGGTCCCACGATTTTACTATACTAGATAATGTTAAAAAACCCACTTGTAACGACATAAAACCCTGTTTTAACGTCATATTTGAAGCACTCTCAAATTTACAAAATTAAATTATAAATTTTATTTATCAAAGAAAATACTAAGTGTTCAGTCCTAGGGTCAGAGTCCGCTTCCTAGAACGATTGTGGGTGGTACTGTCACCACCTGATTCGGTGGGGTAAGATGCGTCACCCCTTTAAACAATGTGACAGTGGGTTAGTCTGCATAGCTCTCATACTCGTGTTATAGTTTAGCATCAAATCAGGTAAAATGGCTAGCTTAAAAAGGAAAGCGTTAACGTAAGACTGCAAAGGAGAAATAATTAAAGCAACTGAAAGTAAAAGAAAAAAGGCAGATGTATGCAGAGACTTTGGTTTAGCAAATTCTACAGGTCTCATAAAACTTCATTGGAAATAATGAACAAAATCTACGACTTAGAAAATGACATTGATAAACAATTTTTA